CTCCCCCCTGCCTTACCTCTGCTTCCCCAGGACCCTCCTCTGCCACCACCCCTGTCCTACCTGTGGGTGCTCACACCTGCACTGACAGCACCCAAGGGTGCTCTCCAGGCGAGCTGGTGCACCCCGGAAACCCAGGGCTGGGTGTGTACCACCTGCCTGCTCTGGGCCCTCATTATGGCTCAGGTTAAAACTATTCCCAGCATGGAAGTTGGTAATAATCCCGTGTGCCAGGGCTGGGGCAGGATGCTCAGTGCAGCAGGGACATCATCAGGGGGGCACCTCCTCCCTGGCCAGGGTACCCTCCCCAGACCAAGGGTACTCCAGTCACAGAGACAAAAAGACACTCATATTTATGCTTTAATAAAACTAGAAAGAGGGGAAAAAAATCAAAGGGATTAGACCAAGATCCAGCCATGGACACTCCCTACCATGGCAAGGACTAGTCAGGTCACAGTATTTGCTGCCCGTCAGCCCTGAGGACAGGGGGGATGGCAGCTCCCCCAAACCCAGCAGAGCAAGGCAGGACTGTTCCCCACATGGTTTTATTGCTGGTGATGTCCCCCCAGAGAAAGGGGCTTGGGAGACCCTGAGCAAAGAGGGCCAGGTCAGGCACCAGCCCAGCAGGTAGAAACAGCAAGTTCCATGCAACACCTGCTCCCACCCTGGAGCATGAGCCACCCACAATCTCCCACACTTTCCTTCACCATCCTTCCCTTGCTGGCTCTATCCCATGCAGGATTGAGCCCACAGACCCCATCTGTGACAGGGAGATTTCTACTACATGGCCCTCTGCATAGTTGCCTCCCATAATCCCCTCCCACTTTAGTGACAGCTCAGGATTTCAGCTTCATTTCAGACACAATTTAACGACCTGCTCCAGGTCCAGAGACACCCAAGTCCCGGACCTGCAGATCATCTCCATCATCATCCAGCTCACTCTGCCTCCACTCCCACCATGCTCCCAGCACTCAGCACCAACATGGAGCAGCCAGTGTTTGTCAAAGCATCTTCCCCATCCACTCTTCACCAGGATGGGACCACTCTTCCTCTCATGGTGGTCCCCCATTCTCAGACACTGTGCTGGTGGTCAAGAGGTTTGTTCATGCAGGAGAAATGGCCACAGAGCCCCATGGCAGAGGCTCCCAGGGAAGAGAAGCTGGCATATTCCAGCCTTGGGCTGCCAGAACTAGGATCTGTTCCCCAAGACAAGCTGAGGAAGAGACCTGCTGGGCTCATGGCTTCTTGGAGGCTCCTGAGCCTCCCTCCACGATTTTGTTGGCTAAAATCTCCTTCTCCTCCTTTATCTTCTTCAGCCTGACCTTGCTTTTGGAAGATGAGAAGGAGAGCGAGGCCTTGCTGAACTCCAGAGGGAAGATACCCACGTCCCCGTCGAAGCGGTTCTTGGACACCTGCAGGTAGCGCTTCCCTGGCCCGGTCACCAGCTTACGGTCCTGCAGGATCAGGACATTGTCGGCCTCCTGACTGGCCTAGGGAGAGGAAAACATCTCCAGGAGGGTGCCAGGAATGCTGCCAGAGTCGCAAACACTTTCCCAGCTGCTTTAAACCCTTTTACAGGGCACCCCATGCCACAGCAACTCCAGCATTTCCCCAGCACCAACCCCTTGTGTTCCCCTGGAATGCCCAGTGATGCACCAAGCACATCCTGTGCCACAGCCCACCCTGGGGAAATGGGATCACTGGAGGGCTGTGCTCAGAGAGCACCTCCTGCCCACAACTGCAGGGCTGGTCAGCATCACGGAAGAGACTGGAATACTCAGAGCCCGTCCCCACACCCTCCCTCCCTCCCTCTTTAATTATCTCCTACTACATTCCACCCACAGTCAGTATTAATTAAATGCACCTAAAGCCCCAACAGAGCTTTAGCTGACAATCGGTTTGCCCTCTGCCTGCATCAGGACTCTGGGAGACATACCACACCTTTTAAGTCCCCAGTGATGATCCAGGGCATTGATGGCAGCTGAGGACAACTGCCCAACACATCCTAGCCCCTTTCTGGGAATACACTGTGCCCAAGGGACAGGAAGGGCCAGCTCACCTTGGCAGAGCCGAAGATGGAGGCTGTCTGCAGCTCCTTCTCGTCATCCTCCTTGCGAGGATGGATGATCAGGGTGATGTGGCACGTGTTGTCCGTGGCAAACTTGCGGAAGGCACCAACGATGAAGTCCTGGGCAGCGAGCCTGCCACAGCAGCAAGAACGGGGTCAGGGGCTGGCACTGTTCAGTGGCAGGAGGCAGTGAGGTGCTGATCCCCACAGCAGAAACCACCCAGGAACGTGAGGCAAACAAGCCCACATGGGAAGAGGGATGTGGTATGGCAGGGATGGCTGGTGACCTGCTCACCCCTTCCCACCTCTTCCTCCTTAGGGCACTGGTTGCCCTTTAATGAAACAGAGTGGCCAGAGAGGAGTAAAGGTGACACCCTGTGCAGAACCCCAGACTCTGGAGTGACAACTGACAGGGACAGCTCCAGCAGTGAGGGTGACAGAGAAAGGAAGGGTCAGATTGAAGGAGGACTACCTGTCCACAGAGAGGTGCTCGTGTCCCATCATGAACTGGAGATTGTCAACAACCACGTGGGTGATGTCGTACATGTAGACCGCATGCTGCATGGTGTCAATCACTGTCCTGAGCAGAGGAGATCAGGATCAGCCCCAGGGATTAGTGGAGGTAGGGATGGGAATGCTGAGCCAGGCAAAGGGATGCAGAGAAAGAGCTGGAAGGTACCAGGTCCTGATGGGATGTGAGTGCATCCCACCTCTGCACCTCCCCCACAGTATAGCAGGTGCAGCCCCACCCCCAGGGAAGGGTAGCTGGGATCAGAAGGACTCAGCACTGCCCACACAGTCCCTGTCTACTGCCCTGCAATGCCCCCAGCCCACAGGGATCCTCAGGGCACACAGGGATGCATGCAGGTGAACAGTGCCTGATGAATAAAAGCGGTTAGAGGTGCCTGTTCTCCCTCTTCAGCAAACAACAGCACGGCAGGTAAGCAGGCTGTGAGGGAACATGTCCTGCCATGGGCACAGGCTGGCTTCAGAGCAGCACGGGATCAAGTCCCCTCCTTCACCCCCACCCCAGACAGAATCTGTGAGAGTCCCTGTGACAGGACGAACAAAGGTGGTTGGCCACACAGTCCCCACACACCAACCCTGGGACTTGAACAGTCCCAATGTGACTCCTGCCAGCCCCAAATCTGTGACTCACTGCGGGAGAAGAGCCCCAGCTCCCCAGGGCCCTGCAGCACATGCCGTGAGGGGTAAATGCCACTGGGAATGGAGGTGCAGGACCATACTTGATGTTCTGCTGGCCATGGAAGGTCATGAAGTAGAGTGGGAGCTCCTCGAAGCGATCAGCCCACTCATCATACAGCTCTAGCTGGTCCTCCAGGCGCCGGCCAGCAAACTGCGTCAGCATGATTTTGGCCAGACGGACGTTGTTGATCTCAAAGCTGCCCCACAGCGTGCACACGCCCTGCATGCACAGGTCCAGTGCATACTCACTGATAAACGTGGTCTTCCCACTGCCCGTTGGGCCTGGTACAAGGACAACAACAGGAGAATTAGCTAGGGGAGATGATCTGACCCATCCTGACCATGTTGGGGGGTTGTTTAGAGATGGAAGCACCAGGGACTGGGGCAAGAGAAGCCCATCTGAAGCACTCAGACCATAAACAAACTTCTTATGCCACACTACACACCTGGGTGCTTGGGCACGGCCTCCCACAGCTTATGGGTCTCCACAGGTCCCTGTGAAGGGCTGGGCAGCCAGTAGGGTGAGCACAGGGAGGGGAGCAGGGGTAAGGGACAGCCCAGAACTTCCTACACTGCCCCAGGCAGGGAGCCCTTCACCACATTGGCATGCACGGTCCCACAGAACTGAGGAATGCACCCCAGCCTCTCACACACCCGCAAGACAGGCTCAGCAAAAGCCTTCAGCAGAAAGAGACCTGGATGACTCGTGAGGCACCACCCGCAGGAGGGTGAAGCCAGCAAACACCCCTCTGCTCGCCCTGTCCGCCAGTCGTTGTGCCCGTTACCTGTGAAGATGGTGAGCTCCCCTCTGCGGTGCCCTTTGAGGAGCTTGTTGAGCTCGGGGAAACGTGCCCACTTGACACCAGACACCTGTTCAGTGTTCACCAGCTCCCCGAACACCTCCTCGCGCAGCTGCCGGAAGGAGATGATGGATTTGTGGCTGGCAAGCAGGGCAGAACGCAGGATTTTGGTGACGTTCAGGCCCTGGTTCAGAGCCTCCAAGGGCCGGGGGTGCAGGTTGCCAGGGCGCACCAGAGAGCAGCGCTTGAGGCTCAGCTTGCGAGCAAAGAGCTTGGCAGCTTCCCAGGAGCGCAAGTCCTCGCCGAGCCACAGCGTGATGCGCTTGAACTGCTCCAGGTAGGGAAGCAGGGTGGGAGGCAGGGAGCTGGCCCCCCGCGGCAGGGCCAGGCTGGCCACTCCTGCCGCTTGGTGCAGGGCCAGAGCATCCAGCTCCCAGCCGGTTAATACTAGCTCTGTGTCTCGGCGGCCAATCAGGGGCAGCCCAAAAAGATTGCGATAGGAATCGAAGCGGGGTAAAGTCTCTTCCACGTAAGTTTTTGTGCCCCCCTTTTTCTCCACCCTCAGGAGCTTCAGGCCCTTCAGAGTCGCATCTTGAGGACTGAACCAGGGGAAGACGAGAGACCTGGCAGCCCTCAGATAACGCACACCGAAACGTTTCAAGGTGGCATCTGTCACCTGGGAGATACCAAACAAAGCCTTGGTCTCCTTGGTCTCCTTCTCATCCAGCAGCTCCCAGAGCGGCAGAGCCCGTTCCCAGATGCAGCGGGCATCCTCGCGAGCCTGTCGCATTTCCTCCTCCGTCTCTTCCGAGCTGGCAGGGGGAATGGGGGTAACGCCATGGTGCCGCATTTCCACGTTAGCCTGGAAGTCCTGCCAGGTGCCCTCGGCCAGGGTGGCAGTGCACAGGAAGCTGCCCGTGGTCTTGTCAATGAAAAGCGTGAACGGGGCATTGGCGGACAGCGGCTGGTCTCCGCGGTCGCCGGTGAAGAGGCTGGGGGTGTGCAGGCAGCTGTACCCATCATGGAAGGGGATGTCCTGCGCCCGCAGGTACTG